GCCGCCACCTGCTGCTGCTACCTCTTGTTGCTGTTCTCTGCTGCCGCTTGTTGTTGCTGTTGTCAGAGATGAAAGAGAGGGAGACGAGTTGATTTGCTATTGCCACTTGCTGTTGTTGCTTCATCGGAGATGAGAGAGAGGGAGACGAATAGATGGGGGCGAGAAAGAGAGAGAGAGAGAGACGGGAAAGACAAGCATATTGGGAAAACCCCTAGGCAACAATCATGTTTGGCTTTTGACAACAAAAGTGGGTCTAAAACATTTACAAATTCAGATTTTTAGACCCAAAACCCAATCATACCCATTCTAAAACTCGCCCGCATAATCCTTTTATGCGGGCGAGTATGCATTTTCATCCCACATATGCGGCTGTCCGCATGTTTGACCTAATCAGCTAATTTCCAAGTGGAAATGGGTCAATTCTGTATGTGGCCGAGTCAACCAATTTTTAAAACACTGGTCAAAGCAACATTCTCCATGGGCATATAGATGAGATCTACATGCAGCAACAAGAGGAGTTCGAGGAGTAAGGGAAGGAGGACCATGTATGCAAGTTAAAGATGTCTCTTTACGGGTTGAAGCAATCACTAAGACAATGGTACAATATGTTCGATTCTTTTATGATGAACAACTTTGCCCGAAGTGAGTATGATAGTTATGTGTATTCAAATAAATTGCTTGACAGGTCATGGATATATTTGCTTCATTATGTTGAAAATATGCTAATCGCTGCTAAGAATGTGGATATTATAAATGGACTTAAGGAGAGCTTGGGTAGAGAATTTGAGATTAGAAATGTGGGAGGTGCTAAGAAAATCCTAGGTATGGAGATCCGTTGAGATGGAGAGAAAGAATTACTATGGCTATCTCATAGCAAGTAGAAGGTACTTAGAGAGATTCAACGTGAATCAAACGAAGCACGTGTACCCCTATTGGATCACATTTCTAGTTATCAATGAGATGTTGTCCTTCTAGGGAGGAAGAGAAGAACTATATGGCAAGATCATATGCAAGTGCAGTCAGGTTACTCATGTATGTTGTGGTGTGCACTAGACCAGATATCTCTCATGTAGTGAGCTTGGTAAGTCGATACATGACAAATCTAGGAAAGAAGCACTGGGAAGCGGTGAAATGGGTGATGAGGTACCTAAGAGGAACCATCAAGAGGTGTATTGTGTTCTCTATGAACGATATGCACAAACAAGTGGAGGGGTTTGTAGGTTTTGACTATGCGAGTGATGTGGACAAGAGGAGGTTCATTACCGGATATGTATTCACATATGGAGGAAACCTAGTTAGTTGGAAGACTATTCTTCAAAGCACGGTGACTCTTTCTACAACAAAGACCGAGTATATAACAACGATTGAAGCGATGAAGGAGGCATTATGGTTGAAAGGCTTAGTGAGATCACTTGGAAGCAAGGTTTTAAATATCGATTATCGGAGATTTATCGGACGGTCAAAATCCTTATCAGATAGCGAAAATCGGGGATATATCGGAGATAAATAGTATTTATGGGAGTGATATACTAGATGGTGTATATATAATATAATAACCAAAAATATAATCTAACCATAATTAATGAAATATAAACATACCAAAGTATAAATAAGCATGTTTAGAATCACTAATCAATTGTAGAAAGCAAGTCGGGTCGAGTTTAATAACTCACTAAATAACTGCCAATTACCTAAAAATTAAACTCAAAATTTGGCCCGATAAAGACGATGTTTAGAGTCTCCTTTATCGGCCAATAAATACCTTTATTGCCGATAACTCGCCGATAAACCCCAAAAAACGATAACCAGTTAAAATTCCTACTTATCCTAGCGGAAAGCTTCCAAATCTGATAACTCGACGATAATATCGGATTATCAGCCGATATTTAAAACCATGCTTGGAAGGGAACAAGAACCGGTGTCTATTCATTGTGATGCCAAAATGACATTCATTTAGTGAGAGATCAGATGTTCCATTCTAGAACCAAGCACGTTGATATAAGGTACCATAAAATCCAAGATTGGATGGAAGATGGGGAGATCATTCTTGAGAAGATTATTATAATCCGGCGGACTTCATGACGAAAGTTGTTCCAACAGATTAGTTTGAGTTATGCTAGAATGCCATTAATGTCATCCATCATTGATGGTGAGGGAGCACTGCGGCGGGAGCGTGGTTGGGTATCCCATCTAGGATGCCTTGAGGAGAGATGCACCAAAGAGTATACATTGGCGAGAATTAGAATTAAGTCAAGGTGGAGTTTGTTGTGTTAATGTGGCTTAAGTTATTTACTTGTAGAGTTTATTTTGATTTGTAGAGTTATTATACATTGAAGAGTTGCATATTAATTATGCATTCACTAAATAATTCAAAGTTCAGTCTTTTTTTCTTTTGTAATCAAAAGTAAAACAAGGTGCAAAGACAAATGCTAGTGCCAAACCAAAAAACAATCAATGACCCACAATTAAGGGTGATCCATAGCATCTAAGTTCTTAATTGTGGGATCAAGGTCCTCCACGTTATAGTAGAAATGTAGCTCGTTGAGATTATGACCATTCTTGGAGAGGCGATCAGCTATCTGATTGTAGCAACGAGATAAGTTTGCCTGGAGCTTGTAGTCCATGTTGTGCCAAATATCAGTGAGTTGTCAAAACGTGCAATCCTTCCCAATCAGGTCCACAAGGGATTTGGAGCCAGTCTTAACTTTGGTAAGCAACAGACTGAGTTCATCAATCAAATCATCCCCAATAGTAAGAGCCTTCACCTCAGCTTGAAGGTTGGAACCTGACCAGCAGGACCAGAGAACACAACAATAAAAGAACTCTCATGGTCTCTAATGACCCCATCCACATCAATCACATTTTGGACACATGAGTTATCAATGTTCAAAACAAGCTCACTAGGTTTGGGGGGATTCCACACACATGAAAAACTTGGTTTGAATCTAAGTGATCTTGAATTGATGCCAATGGAGAGGGGATAATCTTGCCATATTTAGAGGAGCACATCAAAGGCTTAACCATTGAGTCAAGATGCTGAAGATAATCAATCACCATGAGTCTTGGTAGAAGAAAATCCTTCACCATGCCACCATAGGTGCAATTGTTTTTTTAACTCAATATTTTCCTACAAATGGCAATGCAAGTCAGTCTCCCCATGATAGAGAATTGAGATTTCCCTTTGTACTTTATGGAAATATGGCACTACAAAGAGGGCACTAAAATATTTCCATAAAAAATGTGCAACTTCACTTTTGATAAAAAGATGGTCCGGAGTCTCCTCATTGTGATCCGTACAACAAACACATTTGGATGCAAAAGAGAAACCCCTTTGTTTAGCCAAGGAGTCAACTGGCAAGATTTTATGAAGCAATCTCAAGCACATTGACCTTGATGAGAGTGGTATGATAGAGGACCAATTTTCATCAAGCGATGGATCAGGTGCTTGTTGAGCTCTAATAGCATTCCACACAGATTTAATGGTGAAAATTCTAGCCTTATCATGGACCAATGCCTAATATCATCCCTCTTCTTAATATTCGAGGCAAACTCACCCAACAACTCGATCACCTCATTAACCCAACAAAGGGGCCAGTTCATCAAAATTCCAAGCATCATTCTCATGAAAGTCCCTTAGTCTGACATTGATACCCTCATCATCACAAAGAAAAGCAAGAGAAAACTGAGAGAGCCATTTATCATACCAAAAGGAGAGATCTCCTCTACTAACAAACCAAGAATAGAGTGGGGAGAAAACGAGCTTAACAGATAATATATCTTTCCACTCTTTAGAGGAACGAAGAGGACTAGTCCAAGCAAGAGGAGTAGAGCCAATCTTGTATTTGTTACGCATGAAAGAAGCTCATATGAATTTAGATTTGCATAATTGCCAACACTGTTTGAGGAGAAAATCAAACTTTACCTCTAAAAGAATTCTTACTCCTAGACCCTCTTCATTGACAGGAAAATATATATTTTTTACCACTTGAGCCAATGTCCGCGATGACCATAATCAGAGGATCCCCCCAAAAAACTAGCCAACTGGAATTCAATATTGTGAAGAGCTTGTTTAGGGATGGATGTAGTGAAAAGCAAGTGAGTTGGCATTCTACAAAGAACATGTTTAATAAGAATGGGTCTACATGCATTGCTCAATAATTTAGAATGCCGCTCTTGAATCCTTGCAGATATTTTATCAATAAGAGGCTGATAGAGAGAACATTTTCTTCGGCCTGGACTAATAGGAACCCCACGTATATAATGGGGAAATTACCCCTGGAGAATTTGGTCATTCTCTGCATAGATCTCACCCTTTGTATAGCCGCTCTACAAGGCAAGTAAAAATGGCTTTTGGACAGAGTCACTCTTTTACCCGAGTTGGACTGATATGACTCAAGTAGTTTCATGATTAGCTGAAGGGAGGGTTTGTCAGCATTGACAAATATAATGATGCCATCAGCAAAGAGAAGGTGGGAGGAGCATTTAGCCATTGTAGTATTGTAGCTCTCATTGACTGTAACAAAATGAGAAAACCCACAAGATAGAATTTCTTCAACCAAATGTGTGTGAGAGCATAACAAAAAAGAAAAAAAGAAAAAAAAAAGAAAAAAGGAGAGTGTGTGAGAGAAAAAGAGAGGAGAAAAAATAGAGAGAAAAGAGTGTGAAGATTAGAGAGTGGAGTCCTTGTACTTATCTATTTTTCAAAAGTGAATATCTCTCCACTATCCAAGGACATAGGCCAAAGTCCGGGGCCGAACCTCGTCAAAATTGTCGTGTCTTATTCAAGGTTTTAAATATCGGTTATCGGGGATTTATCGGACGACCAAAATCCTTATCGGATAGCGGAAATCGGGGATATATCGGGGATAAGTAGTATTTATCGGAGTGATATACTGGATGATGTGTATATATAATATAACAATTAAAAAATATAATCTAATCATGCTTAATAAAATATAAACATACCAAAATATAAATCATCATGTTTAGAATCATTAACCAATTGTAGAAAGCGAAACTTGCATCATAGCCTTAAAAAAAATATAATGTTAGTCAAAATGAGCCGATAATCCCGATAAAAAGGTCTTACTTATCGGCCGATAAGTGCCGATAACGCCGATAAATCGCCGATAAACCTAGAAAAACGATAACTGATTAAAAATCCAATTTATCCTAGCGGAGAGCTCCCAAATCCGATAACTCGGCCGATAATATCGATTATCGGCCGATATTTAAAACAATGGTCTTATTGCATTGTGGTTCCATATTCTTTTGACGTCTCAATCTCCTAGATCCTGCAGTTATGTGTGTCAAGATCGGCGTACGACGATTGATTCTGCATCTATTGTAAAGAGATTATTCAATCGATAATTCACAACAGATTAAACTTAAGCCAACGACCCCTGTTTGAGTTTGATTCTTTATAAATTTGAGGAGCTCAAAATCAAGCTGAATGCTTCACATGTGGCTTGTGTTGATGATAAGAATCCAAACATTTTCTAATCGATCCTTTAGAAAAGAAACATTAAAAGTACTCAAAAAAGAAGTTACGCATTTCTCTTCTTTTTTTATCATGTAAGTAGCTCATTTAGTAGTGGTCTGATTTTCCAGCAAGTTGATTACAATCTGCGCTAAAGAAAGATGTTAATAGTTTGCTCAGATCATTGGTCTATAGTAATATGGAGAACGTTCTATATTTGGCAAAGCTACATGTTTGTATTTTCCCATATTGGCTAAACACCTTATATTTTAAAATTTAAATATCAAACAACTTTTAGAGAGTCTTCCCATGCACGTGCACACATAGATTTCGAGCTTATTTGAGCCAAACATGAGCCATCAAGGCCTAGCTGGAGTTCTACTTGTTTCTTAATTGACCGAGCCAAAATCAGGTTACACGCCAAGCCAAACATGAATTGTATGTGAGATTCTGGTATGTTTGACAGCCCTAATTGGAAATAACATCAATTATGAAACATATAATATGCAGGAATAAGGCATTGAAATTCCGAATTGTAATTGCTTTCATTAGAAAAACCATATCGGCTACGATACTCCTAATATGTTAGACAGAAAAACGAAAAGCTATCCTTTCAACTACGATAACTCTTGTCCAACTCTTAGAATATTTATAATGGTTCCTCTTCTCAGTGTGTTCTAGTTGGGAGAACAAATCCTCTTCTTGGAGTTTGGAAATTCCAACAATCTGCATCAGTCTGGGATTAACATCCCGCTGCAATTCACAGATTGACAAACCCAACCAGGAATATTTGCTTGTGAGCATACAATGTAGATGTGAATAATGGAAATTGGATAACTCATCCATTTTTCCTCCTTTTCATGTTGTGGGAAATACAATGTTGGTGTGGGAAAGACATTGTTATACATAATAACAAATGATACAGTCACAATCATCTCCATGTTGCCATTTCCACGTTAAGTTTGGCAAACATTCAGAGATGGTTGAACTATATAAATGCAGAATCATTAAAAAGTAGTGATTGTGTGAGTTGAGATTCACAAGTTGGGTGTATTATATTAGAGAGAAGATTTTTGTCATTAATGTGTTACTTGACATTGTGGATTGTGCTTCGATATAATTTTGCCACATTAGGCTATACTTACTATCTGTTCTTAAGTTTACTTAGGTTCTTCTATACTCCTGGAAAGAGTTACCAGTAAATGGGATATATCTCTTATAAACTGCATTAAATTTATAACTTTTATTTTACATCAAATGCATATCTTTGTCCTCTTCGAGTCTTTTTTGATCCAGTATCCACTCTTCAATCATGTGTTTTTTATCATCTATTTGTTGTAAGGCTCTAATTTCCTTGTCTTTTGTAAGTTTGACCACTTTTCACACTGATGTTCTTGTTATGCAGGAT